GTGCATGCCAAACGCCTACTAAATCCCATAACCTAATCTCACCAAACAAACACCCCCTTAATTTATTATCAATTCCTTTATTTATTTTTAAACTATTAATTTGATGGGACATTTTATGATCCATTAATCCCATAAATGTTTGTATGATCCAATAAATTATATTTCACGTTAAAATCTAGCAAATAAAATATGCTTATATTTGAAAATCTAATAAGAGAATAATAAGAATAACAAATTTAACAAAAATTTAATAAGACAATAATATACAAATTGTTGGACCATTTTAATATCTCTTATTTATTTATTTATATATTTTGCTCATGAATTTTCTTTTATCTTGTTCATGAATCTCATCTTGTTTATGAATGGAAATTCATTGTTTTGGTAACTTTTTGTCTTGTTCATGAATGGAGATTAATTAGGTTCATGAACTTGGTGATCAGTTAATTTTTTGGAGACTCTCCCTTTTCTCTAGGTTCATGGTCATTATTATTTTTTGATGTATTTTGTAAGGTCCTCCCAGCCTATAAATAGTTCCTCTTATCTACTCTTTTCTACACCAACTATTTTCTATACAAGAGAGATTACTAGCAAAGAATGGTGCTTTTCTTGGTGGAGCTTTAAGTTCACTATCTTTTGCAGAGTTGGCTTGAACCATACAACAAGTGATCAGGCTGTTGTATCCTAGTGGGAACAAGTCATAGTTTTGTGACTACTGCATCGGTATTTGGGTTCTTCCTACCGCAGTGGGCTTGATCTCCTTAAAGAAAACGAGATATCCATGCTTTAGCTTGATCTGTTTATATTTCATTTTCTTTACATTATTTATCAATAAAATATAAATTTTTTTGTTATTTTCACCAACACAAATAAAGCATACCCACATTTGAAATCTCTACGAAATATAGTGAAATGACCTCACGATATACCTTTTCAAATTTAATGAGACTTAATTATTTATAAAAAAAAATTCATAAGATTTGTCGGTACATACTTTTTAAAAATGAGAATTCTAAATAAATTTTCCTAACATCTATTTAATCTTTAAATTTTTTAATGTTAATTCATATGATTCAATTGTAAATGGTTTGTCTATCTAATGGGTACAATATGGACAACCTAAAGCACCCATATTCTTTTAATTAACACAGTATTAAACAACTTATATCTTACAATCAAATATTTTTAATTTTTTTTGGTGCCTAATTTTAAAATAGTGAACAAAAAATAATTAGTGTTTGATTATAAGTTTAATTCGCTCAAGTTTTAAAATAAACTCTTTATCATCAAATTGATTTTAACAATAATTTATTTGAACAAATTATTTTCAATTGAACTATATGAATTAAAAATAGAAATTTTATAAATTAAATAAAGGAAAAATTACAAACCAGGTTAAATTTTAAAAATTAATTACATATTTATAAAAAAAAATTATGTTTTTAATAATTAAAGTCTGTAAACTTTACTTTCTTTCCAATCACCCACTTCTGTGTTATTTCTCATATTTATAAAAAAAAAATTATGTTTTTAATAATTAAAGTCTGTAAACTTTACTTTCTTTCCAATCACCCACTTCTGTGTTATTTCTCCTTAAATAAACCATATTTATAATTTATGAATAAAATAATAATAATTTTTAAAAATAAAATAAAAAATATTTTTTTGAATCTTTTTTAATAAAATAAATCATTTCGATATTTTTTTTATTGGTTTGGGAGTTTCTGGAGCCTGTATATATTGGAGTGGGTCAGGGGGTGTAGGGACTATGGGGAACAGAGGTGGAGAAAAGATTGTACCAGTGGGGGGCCAAAAATATATGAATAGAATATGATCTTACTAGATGAAAAACTGATCAAGTTGGGTTGCAGTAAATTTTGAACTAGTTAAATAAAATTATTAAAGAGTATTTAAAATTTAGTTTTTGTTTTATACTTTGTGTAAATTTATTAAAATGTATTGAATCAATAATGTTACGTCTATATTTTTTTTATTATTTTATGTATCATCATTACATTAATTTAATGAGCTTCATCAGACGAGATGATAAATGAAATATGATACATGAAAATAGTCAACATAACATTATTGATGTTGATTAAAAAAAAAAAAATAAAGTAACTATTACTAGGTCATAATAGTTGAAGTTAATTTTCATCAAAGTCTATTGAAAATAAGTTTTAGTAAAATCATTATTAAAAATAATTTTTTATGACGATTATTTGCATATATCTCTAAAAATTGATAATTAGTAACTTTTTTTTGTCACAATTTTTATAAATTGTAATTAAAACTTACAATTAGTGACTTTTTTTTGACAAATTTTTTAAACTGTCATTAAAAATTGAAAATTAGTGACTTTTTTTTTAAAACTCTCGCTAAAATTTATAATTAGTGACATTTTTTATAATAATTTTTAAACTGTTGTTGAAAATTAACAATTAGTAACGTTTTTTAATAGTGTTTAATGAAAAATATCATTAATTATCATAAGACTTATTAGTAATAAGTCTATCTATTAGGATTTACACATAAGTCCCTCTACAAAAATTTGTATATCATTAGTGACGCATAGCACTAAAATTTAGAGTGGCCCGAACTTAAAAAAAAAAAAAAGAAAAAAAAAAAGAATAAAGTACCGTCTTAACCTTAAATATATATTTTGCAAGTTATTAAATTTTAAAAATAAAATTCTTAAAGTAATTATAGAATTGATTTTCTATTGCTCCAAATAAAAATTGCAATACCCAAGACTATTCACTGGCCACACTTTAATAATACTAAAGTTATGTTTTCGACTTTTTATTTTTATTGGCAAACTAAAAATTTCATTAAAAATATAAAATTAAAGGTATAATAAAGGATGAATTACACTAACAGTCCTTATAGTTTGGAGCTTATATCACTTTGGTCTTTGACCTTTTAATTGTGATACATTTGGCCATGAATTTTAGATCTCATTCCAAATAAAGACAATTAAAGACATTGTTGCTCCATTTCAAAGGTAAAATCGTCATACAACTTATTTTGTGTTAGTTAACTTATATCTTGTTTGAAATATAATGGTTTTTTTTTTAATGAATAATGTTGGAACTTTTTTGGTTATAAAGTTCTGTTTTGTTTGGTTTTCAGAACCTATTTTTAGAAAAAATTTCTAAGAAACTAAAAATCAAATTAGTGGAAAAAAAATTAAAAGCACATCATTTTTATGTAATTTTATCTTTTGGGAGAGTAAAAATAAATTTTTTTGATATTTATTTTCGTTAAATGAGTTTTTATTTTTTCAAAAATTAAACTTAGCAACAAATTTGATATCATTATTAAACCAATCCATTAAATTCAAAAAATTCAAAACTAAAAGTATTTCATATATTAAGCATATTGATTATACATTAAAAACTAATAACTATCCATTAAATGACAACCATTCAAAAATATCTATTAACAACAAATATAACAATCTATTAAATGATAATCATTCAAAAATATCAACAAAAATAACCACCAATTTTATGATCAACATCTAAACATATACTGTACAAAAAATTAATTTGGTAAAAAAACATAAAAATGTAAAAGATTTATCTTTTTTATATAATTTTATCTTTAGTGAGTAGAAATAATTTTAAAATTTTAAAAATAATTTTTTAACATTTATTTTTATTAAATTAGTACATATTTTGTCAAATTGACGACTTTACTCTTGAAATAGAGTAATAACGTGTTCAATTGTCCTTATTTTGAGCGAAATTCAAAATTAAAGATCAAATATATCAAAATTAAAAAGTTAATTATTAAAATGATACAAATTTTAAACTATAAGAACCGTTAATATAATTCACGCTAAAAAAAATAAGATGTACTCAGAGAGATTCGAAAAGAAATTTATCCTATTACTACTAGCATCATACAACCCACTCTTCAGCCTCACCATTTTTTAAAAGAAAAAGAAAACAATACCAAAAACCAAACGAACAAAAAAACAAAAAAACAAAATAGAATAAAAAAAGCTACAAAACAAAAAAACTTGAACCCCCATAACACATAAAATACTAAAAAGTCATGTTTTTGGCGTACCATCGATAAATAGTTGCAGGGCCACAAGAGACATACAAACAAGAATACACCATATAAAATTCTATGGCAGATGCAAATCATACATTATATATGGAGGCGTTTCAGACTTATATCCCCCCGGCGCGCGCAAGGAGAAGAAGTGGTCCTCACAAATCATATCCCCAAGATTAGGAGTTGCAAAAATAATATTATATTGCACCTATGGCTTTGGTGATGGAGTGAAACTGGTAAGAGCATTCTCAACCCACCCTCTAAGCATGTTTGGTACCAAAAAAAAAATAGAATGCGGGAATGGAATGAGAATCATAATGGAATATAAGGATGAGTGAAATGGAATTTTTATTTTCATTCCATTGTTTGATTGTCAGCTTGGATTGACATAGAAATAAAATGATAATTGTCATTCTTATGTTTGTTTATATCTCTTAAACTAATGGAACGAAATAAATTTTTAATTTTTAATTATTTTTTTTAATAAGCTAGTAATAAATAAGTTAAAAATTCATGTATATCATGCTAGTGTTAATAGGTATGGAAGTGATGGTGCGAGTCATCATAATGGTGGTGGCATTGGTGATGGTAATAGCAATAGTAGTAGAATGGTAGTGGTGGTGGTAGGTTGTTATGGCATTGGTGGTAGCGGCGGTGGTATTGTGGTGATTGTGATGACGATGGTGGTGGCGGACAGGGATAGTAAAGTGGTGGTTCTCTTGATGGGGTGGTGTGGTGGTTCTGGAGGTGGTGGTAATGATTGTGGCGGTGGTGGTGTGGTGGTTCTGGAGGTGGGGGTAGTGATAATGGTAGTGGTGTAGTAGCGAAGGCAATGAATTTAGTAGGGTAGTGTGGTGGTGGTGATAATGGTAGCAATAGGGTGGTGGTCAAGGCATTGACAATAATCGTAGTGGTGGTAGTGGTGTAAGGCAATGGTAGCAGAAGGGCATGGTGGTAAAATGCTAACTTTGATCAATAAAAGAGAACATTTTATTGATTGTAAGAAAGGTACAAAGTACCTAACATACCTCAATAAAGCGGGAAGAACCAGAAAGCATCAAAGCTAACTTAGGCAATCCCTAGTAGGTTGGTACCATATAAGAAACACAATCATGATATGCGGGTGTGTTTGTTAACGTTTACGTTTTTAGTTTATATTTACAAAAATTTTATAAACTGGTTTTTGTTTATTTTTTGTTTATTTTTAGAAAAACATAAATTACAAACGCGTTTGGTAATTGACAAAATGTTTAAAAAAAAAT